CATGACGACCAAACATTATTGTTTGATTCCGGCTGCTCCAGCAAAAACGGGGAAATTGTGTGATAATGGTCTAAAATATGACCCTTTTCAAGATACTTTTTTATGTCTTGTGATTATAACTTCATTCGGAGGCCACCTACCAGCAGTGTGTGCATTTTTGATGGTGCACGACGTTATATATATGCAAAAGAAAGCGAAACGTTGCGACAGAAAAACGACAAAATGTGAAATTGATATGAAATAAAAGTGTTAAATGTGCATTGTTCGTTCGTGTTTAAAGTTCAGTGCAACTTATTCACAATAGGGTGCGTCACTGTCCTTCTGTTTAGGGTGATGCTTTTTTTTCTTTTTTTTCTTTTTTTTTTGTAGTGCCCGATGCTGACAGCAAGCGCTCTCGAGAAAGATGCAAAGATATAGCCCGCAACCAAAATGCCGCCACTCTGTCACCGCCAAGAGCTCACGCCGCGAGACGCGGTTGCACGCGCTCCGGCACAAAAAACAGAAGCGTACGGAACAAAATGGTCAGGTGTCATCCCCCTAAGCCAGGGGTCTCAAACACGCCGCTCGCGACTCGCTCGGACGCGGACCCAGGCTCTGCGCGGACCGCAAACATCCAGCGGCTGCGCGCTGTGATCCCCCGTTCCAATATCTTGAGCGCTCCAGACACCATAGAAAATAGCGAGTTTTAGTAGACCGTTTTCGCTTTCTCGCTCCGCTCTATGGAAAGCGGAGCCGCCATCGCGCATGCGTGACCCGCTCTGAGTTGTTGTTGTTGTTGAGTGTTGTTACACACGGGAAGAGGGGATGCCTGCACGTAATGTTAGCCTCCTTGGGCAGGGGCCAGACTCGCACAGGCGGGGAAAGAGGGTGAGAAAAGAAGAGAAGAGGGGTTGGGGGTGATTTGGGTCACCAATCTCTGGATGAGTAGGGTCGAATCAGGAGGCTATTTTCTTGAGGGAGAGGGGACACTGCAGAACTGTCTTCTGGTATGTAGATCACAAATTAGTCGATGACAGTTGAGACGAGAAGGCGTGGCTGGTCTAGGTGGCGGGCCGGTGGGCTAGAGGTGCGTTGCAAGTCCAGCGGCTTGGAGGTACTCAAGAAGAGATTTATAAACAAGTTCTCTTCTTCGTCGACCTCCGGTAGGGAAAAGGATTTCGTTCTTTTGAGTCACAGTTGTGCTGGCACTTAGGATGGTGGTAAAAAAAGGACCGTCGAGCTTGATCGTAGTGAGGACAATTTAGGAGGACGTGGTCAAGGTCCTCTGGGACATTGCATTTGGCACAGTTGAGTGTACTAGACCTGGAGATCTTGTGAAGTGTCGTTGATGTGTAGGCGCAGTTCGCACGAAGGCGATGGAGTAGCGTGGAATCTGATCTGGTTAGTTTTGACTCGGGGAGCGATGGAGGAGGTTTCCCGCTTGCAACTTCTGTATGGGGGTGACGCATTGTGGTAATTAATTTGCACAGTCTGCGCGCTTCGCAATAACGTGGGATAAAAAGACTGGGTTCTTCTTCCTTGTGTGCCTTTGAAGCAAGGGCATCGGCGCGTTCGTTGCCGGGGATACCCATATGTGACGGAATCCATTGAAAAGCCAACTGCCACCCTGGCATGCAAAGTTTTCGGGCCTTGTCGGCCACACAGTGGGCCAGAAAGGGAGCTTGGTCTGAAGCTTCCAAATTGGATAGCGGACTTCGAGAGTCGGGGAGAATAACAGTCTTGCAAGGATTGAGGTTGTAAAGCGCATCTAATGCCGCTGATAGTGCAGCCAGCTCCGCTGTCGTTGACGTGGTTGCGAAGTTGAGGTGGTGTGATGCTTCGATTCCGGCATCGGGAATGACGAATGCCGCTGTAGATGTTGCAGTTGTGGGATTCGTTGACCCGTCAGTAAACACTTGGAGCCAACCATTGTACGTCCTTGTCAGTTGGTCAGCTACAAGCGACCTTCGAACAGTGACTGAGATAGAATTCTTCTTCGGGAAATAAGGAAGCGTTTCTTCTACAATGTACGGCGGTTGGGTTATGAAAGGTGCCGGAGGAAAGTAATGGCTATTAGGAGGTCCAATTTGTAAATTAAATTCTTGTACACATCGACCAATCTGCGAATCAAAACGCTCTTTAATGTTGGACAGCAGTGATGTCGCAGATCGTGCTCCATACATACGAGTGATATGATTCATTGCTCTTATTCTTATGTGCATAGCTACTGTTTGATCCTTGGCCTCTACGAGTGTCGCCGTATTGCCCGCGAAGCGTGGCAGTCCAAGGCACTGACGGCGGGCAACACGGTGAAAACGTTCGAGTGTGGTCATTTGATGAGCCCTGATTGTGATGAGAGGTAGGCTGTATAACATTCTTGAGAGGATAAGGCCACGATAGAGTATCAGAAGTCCCTGAGGAGGCAGTCCAGATTTCTGGCGATGCAAGTGACGGAGCACAGTTAATAATTTAGTGCACTGCGTTACAAGTCGTTTTATCTCGGGTCTCCATGTAACGTGGTCATCTATTTCCATCCCCGAGTATCGGTACGTTGAGACTCTCTGGATCGGTATTCCTTTGATGGCTGACGTATTTGCAACTTTGCGGTTTGGATGTCGACCAGGGCGGTAACAGAGGAAGGCTGTTTTGCTTGTAGATAAAGTACGTCCTAGTTCTTCTAGAGTAGAAGTCGTGCTGTCAAGAACATTCTGAAGCCTTTTGCCGATGGTCCTTGACAGTCTGGATGGAGCGACACACCAAATTGCCACATCATCGGCGTATATCGTCATGTGAACTGTTGTCCTGGACGTTTCTGTGGAGTTTATGTATAGCGGAAGTTCTGCCATGGTAAGGTTAAACAGAAACGGGCTCAGTACACTTCCTTGGGGAACGCCTTGGGTCACCGACCGACGAGAGCTAAGACATTAGGCAACTCTTACTGTTAGGCTGCGGCCAGTGAGGAACGCGGCGATATAGTCATATGTTCTTCCACCAATTCCGTACCGTGTAACTTGACGCAGAATAGTATGGTGTGGCGGGGCATCGAAAGCTTTGCATATGTCCAAAAATATGCAGTAGACTGTTTGGTGAGTTGAACGTGCATTTTCAAGGCTCGAAACGAGATCAGCAATGGCGTCAAAGGTGCACCTCCTTCGTCGGAATCCGCAGAGTTGATCTGGCAGTGCTCCTTTGGATTCAAGCAGCCACGTAAGTCTTGAAAGTACTGGTCTTTCCATTAATTTCCCGACACAACTGGTCAGAGATATTGGCCGGTAGAATTCAATCCGATCACCGGGTTTTCCTTGCTTTGTGATAGGAACCACTACAGAGGTGAGCCATTGTGCAGGGATTTTTGCCGTTCTCCATATGTTGTTGATAGACTCCAGTAAGGCCTCTCTATGCGGGAAAGAAAGATTTCTCAGTACTTGAAACGTTACGCCGCCCGGTCCCGGAGCGGTTCGACGGTGCAAGCGTCGGAGGGCAACATCAAGTTCAGTGATGGTGAAGTCAGCGTCCATTTCTAAGCAAGGATTTGTTATTCAATGGAACTGGAGGCTTGTCCCTGTATCCCTGTGGTGGCGGAATTGGGGCAGCGAACGCATCAGCAAGAAGCTCCGCGGTTTCTTGAGTAGCCCGGCCTAGGGCTAGCGCTAATCCTGCAACGGGATGCTCGGGTTGCTTTTTATCTTTCAAGACTCTGACGATCCTCCATGCTCTCGAAATACCCGTTGGGGAACCAAACGACTCACATAGTTGGTTCCACTGTAGGCGTTGGAGGCGCTTAGTATATCGGCGAAATTTGGCATCGATCTTGCGATGTTCAGTCCAATCATCCAGATCATCTGTTTCTCGAGCTCGTCGCTGCGCGCGGCGTCGAGCAGCCCTTAGGTTTAGGTACATGAGGTCGGGAACAGGCCGGGTGTACGGTACTCTAATGGTCTTTGTTGACAGCTGAATGGCTCGTGCAATCATGGCTGTTGTGTCTTCTGTCGTGCTGCCAGCTAGAGCAAAGTCCTTGTGAGATCAGAATACATCCCAGTTGGTAACTCGAACCTCTCTGTAAGTCTTGTTTGTCTTTTTGGCAAACTTGCTGCTAATCATGATCGGTATATGATCACTGCCCCAGGAATCGGCTAGCACATTCCAATCTGCCAATATATCCGGGGACAGGAACGTCAGGTCTAATACACTGCGGCCAACTCCAGGTCTGATGAACGTTTCCGCACCGTCATCAAGGGCCTCTAAATGAAGTGAAGATGTCATACTATCAAGATCAAATCCTCTTGTATTTTTGCGGTCACCCCATATCTTGTTGTGGGCGTTGAAATCTCCACAGAGTATAAGATGGCCTCTGCTTCTCTGCTTTACATCGGAAAGTTCTCCGACATCCCATTTGCAATTTGGAGGGACATACACTGAAACGACTGTGAAGTCCACGTTTTTGTATCTAACAGATACAGCAGCATATTCAGCACTACTCTTCGAAACTGAAGATAGGTCTACTGGCGATTGAGGAAGGCCGGCGCGAACGAAGACTACAGGTCGTGGCTTGCAGTCCTTCCTTTTTGTAGAACTGTAATAGGCTACGTAGGGCGACAGGCGGCAGTTGGATGGATCGTTGTTAGGTTCCTGAATCGCCAGTATATCAATCCTAGTGGAGAGTAGATACCTCTGAAGATCTGGAAGGCGGGGATTTAGGCTGCAAGCGTTCCACTGTAGTATTCTTGGAATTTCGGGTTTATCGTTTGTACGTTTCTTGAAGTTGTGACTTTGAGCCGAGGCCATCCGCTCTTAGCGGTGGAAGGGTCCTACTTTCAAAAAGGATTTCATTGCAAGCAGGGCTTGCACTTCCGGTAGGTTGTCTGAATCAGGGATCGCTTTGATGATGGCCCTTAGCGCAGCAAAAAGCATTGGAATAAGGACGCTACCAAGGTCACTAGCCTGCTCTTGTCGTTTGCGCCTTGGAGCTGATGATACCGACGTAGGTTGTCGGATGGTCGTCTGAGTGGTAGGGGCTGATTTCAGTAATTGCATAGTTGATGGAATTCCTCTGGCTGTCTCAGGTGCGTCTTCATGTGGCCGAAGTTCTTGTGTTTTTCTTTCACTCCATTCGTCGTCTTCTTCAATGCGTCACTGTAAGTTGGCTTTTGGGCTCGCTTATCCGTTGGAACCGGGACAGGCAAGGGGACGCGCACAACTTCAGGGTTTAAGGTGGCGGCAAGCCCACGATTTTCCTTGCCATTTAAGACGTCCTGTCTTCGGATAACCGAGGCAGTCTTTCTGCGTTGACACCCAGAGAAGGTAGCGGCATGCTGGTTACCGCAGTTTGCGCACTTGGGATCTTGCCGATTGGTGCAAGTCTTGTGGTGGTGCGGACCTGCGCACACTTTACAGCGCCGTGGTCCACGGCAGTATTGCGCAATGTGTCCGTACCTTTGGCAATGATAACACTGCACTGGAGGACCAAAATACTCGTCAACAGTGTGACTTGTGAAGCCTAAGAGAACGCGTGTAGGCATTGGTTGGTCTGGGCGGAAGTGGAGGAGCACGCTTTCAGTCTTGCGGTGTTCCACGTTGCCGTCCTCTTGTCGTCTATACGAAATTTGCCGTTGAACAGAAATAACTCCAAGATGTTTAAAATAGTCTAGTAGTTCTCCGTCGGTATACTCGATCGGTACCCCTTTGATCTTTCCCAGATTCCGTGAGTAGGAGTGGGGTACACTTGTCGCCACTGCAATAGAGCAAAGGGTCGATATGGCCAGTAATCTGTTGGCTGCTTGCAGAGATGCAACACTCACGAAAAGGCTCCCGTCTTTGTTTATCCTATGTGAGAGTAGCTTCTGCTGTGCAACATCAATTATCTCTTTGGCCACTTCGTTAGGATTCACCCTCCACAAGGATGCATTGGAATTGTTGGGTTTGAAAACCACTGGAATGCCCGCAGGGCGGTTTTTCTTGTAGTGGACTGAGGTAAAGGGCCGATTATCTTCGTCGGCTTCCAGAACTTGCATGGGATCTTCTGGAGACTCGTCTTCATTGGAATGTAAGATAGCATCTTGAACGGAATAAGTAGAGGTCTTTTCATCATCATAGTCGTGATATGAGTCTGTGTCTGCACATCGTCTTTTGATGGGAGCTTTCTTGAGGTCACCGGGGATAAGGGTCGACGGTGGGGTGGCGGTACATTGAGGTGGAGACTTGCCGTGTGATGGTCCAGGATCCCCTCTTTCGGGTGTTTCAGCTGGTGGCGGTTGGTCCACTGCGCAGGTCGTCGGTCCGGTGTTTACAGGGAAAGGGCGACCATACGCCGCGTCCGGGACCTCGCCGCTTGACGCCAATAAGAAAATCTGACTGGATAATATCACGAAACTTTGAAAAGTCCTATTTTTCCAAAAGAGCAGAAAGAATGGCGTTGATTGCCTGAAAACGTCGTCGTCTTCCTCGACCCGCTCTGGGATTTGAGCGTGAGGCGTCAGCTCCGCTTTCGTCGCCATTTTGAGAATCACGTCCCACTCTCAGTAAAGGTTCACTAAATGATGTTTTTCTAGAAAGGAATTCGAAATGAGTGCTCGTCATTTGAAATCATGCTTGGGAGCGCGCTTGACCGTTATGAACCTCGCTGCACTAAGATGGCTGCGCAGACTTTGTTTGAAACGGCGTCCCCCAGAAAACGTCTCACGGTGGTCAAGAACCTCTGGCTTCTTCGAGAAATCGCTGGCCGCAATCCTTTCACGGCCCCTGAACGGTGGGAGGTCTCGATTTGTTTTTATGCGAGATGACGACACGGACGTTGAGAGGATGACACACCGGGCGACGGCGATGCCTCGATTTGAGCCCTGGGCCTCGGTTCCTCGGAGGCGGCAGCTTCTACTTTGGCTGGGCTACCTCCTTGGAGCATGATGCTTTGACCCCAGTGAACCCCAGTGAGCAACAGCGCCATCATGTTCCTGGTGCTCCTTCATGCACTCATCGAACGGCGTGCAAGATCCTCATGGCTCGCCAAAAATTAAAGGCTAAAGAACAAAGACTAAAGCAGTCGGCAAACGGACAGATATTTTGTTTGGTTATTTAGGCTTCAAGACAGTGAAAATTAGCGAAAATGAGCGCTCCATTTATATCTCTTTTTTTCCCCCCAATGAAATGAGTCCTTTCTTCTTCGTATGCTTCGGTTTTTGATAGGGTACCTTGGTGTTTATGTACACTACGCGACACTGTTAGCGGGCACAATCAATATCCTGTTTTTGTTTTTCACCTTAAATTCGAGGGGCTGACATCAGCCTGTTGGTGTGGAATAAAGCGCTCGTTTGGGGCACTAATCTGAGCGACAAATTTTCAGCTCTTTCAATAGCTGTCAAAGAAATAAACTGAAAATAAAAGCGATTTTTTCGTTTTCGTATTAACAGTGGAGCGCAGTGTATGTATCTGCCTTGGGGGGTGACATGAAACCACTTTGCTTGACTACACTTCTTTTTTTTTTTTTTTTTGTGTGTTTTTGAAAGTGCGTTTTTCAGCTTAAGCTCTTGCCTAGTTTCAGCCTCACTTGTGCTGCGGTCTTTTCTTGCAATAGAAGGCCACGCAACATAGGCTACTTTTACAATGCTGAATTCAACACTAACACTGTAATTTGATTAGATGCGATATTCACACGCACATATGAGAAGTAAAATGGGAGTCGTTAGTAAACGTTTTTTTATTAAAATATTTCTAGATGCCTTTCAGCCTAGTTGGACAGATATTTCGCTCAGTACAAACGCTTGAATATGATTTACTGTGATAATTTTATGCATTCTAATATTAAACAAACAAAAAAATGCCCATGGTCTTTGTAGGTTTCATCCAGTCGTCAAATTATGCCGTCTGCGCACATCACTGCCTGGTGCATCACGACGAGCACCCTCTTGTGGTCCTCTTCTGATTTTTTGATGGACGGCATATGGGCATGCTGTGCGGTCAACAAAACCCCAACAGTTGTCCAGGGGTGTTCCCTTGTCCTTGACGGCCTAATAAAAAAGACAAAAAAAAAACACTCTTACAACAGGGCAGTATTTAAACACTACCAAAACATGTAATATGGGACTTGTTCCTCCTCTAACATAAAGCGTGTTTCCATTGTAGGGTTGTAAAAAACTGGGTATCGTAAATTAATATATATACATATATATATATACATATATATAGTTGTTCCTAAATTCTGCTAAGCTTTGAGGCCGTCAAACTGTGCATGCGAGGCCCGCTACGCCGGAATTCAAAACGAAACTTCTGAAAACTGTTATAATCTACCACCATTGCTAAGAACTCCAGCGTTGTGTTTGCTAAATTTTGCATTGTTTATGCCTGTCTGGTTTTCACCAGACAAAAAATTGACGTACAATATTCTTTCGACCCGTTATTGGTAACTCTTTTCAAAATACCACCGGGCACATATTCGGCCGCCATATTTTGGGCATCGATTTTAGTGCGAGACTTGTGACAAGAACCGATTTCATATTCAGTATTGACGCAGCATTCGTGTCTAATACATTTAGACTCGCATCCGCGACAAACAATGACGTAGCTCTCTTGCTCCCTAGACACTTGGCCAAAATAAGGCGGCCTCGAAGACTAGCGCCACCATGGGTTGCACTTTTAAAAAGGCTGCATTCAAGTTTCTATTATTTTCTAAATCTACCAAGGAAATCCAAGGCGAACATTTTCCTGAGAAAAGTTAAACAATTCAAAAGTTGCGAGCGAGTGTGAATAAATAAAGCTGAGAGGAAATGGTTTCTTTGGTGCAGCTTGCGAGCGCTATGCTCGTGGACAGCTTTCAGTGGCATTTTCGACAGGAGGGCGCGTGCACAGGTATAATATGCTTTCGAGCACGCGCACCCGTACATCTGACTGCATAGCCATAAAACGTCCACAAAAACGCGACGACTTTACCGACGCCGTGCTGGTTGCAAAGTGATACTCGTTCACTTTGTTTGATTATATGCTCTGTTGTGTTACATAGAACTCAAATCGAATGGTTTACTTTTCACGCGCGGGGCGTACGCTTTACTTCTTGATTCGACCTCTTTCAAACTGAGGTCACGGTGAAAAACATCGACGCGTATTGAGTAAGTGCAGCCATCTTGAGATCTAAGCGATCACGCTAAGGACGCCGAGGGCAGTCCGCTCTACAACTTGTGAAGCGGAGTGCACGCTTACTCCGCTAACTATACGCTCCAACTCACAGCGGGCCACGCATGCGCGGTGGGGACGATGTTTCTCGCTGAGCGTAAAGTACAGGGTGTCACAAAAGAAAATTTACACGGTCTTTTTTGCCGCAAAAATACACTAGGCATCGCCGAACGCTCATTCTCCGCCCAAAGGTAGCTCTAGAGGTCACAACCAGATGCCAAAGTTCCAGCCCGATCCGATAACTTAATCAAAAGTTATAAATGATTTTCTGAAAATTTCAATGGGAAAATGGCGGCCGACGGAGTTTTCTAACACATGGGGCTCTATGGCACCAGAGTCCGAAAACAGGCAAAAATGGGCTCCATTTTCCCATTGAACTTTTCAGAAAATCACTTATAACTTTTGATTAAGTTATCGGATCGGGCTGAAACTTTGGCACCTGGTTGTGCCCTCTAGCTCTACCTTTGGGCGGAGAATGAGCATTCGGCGATGCCTAGTTTATTTTCGAAGTAAAAAAGACCGTGTAAATTGTCTTTTGTGACACCCTGTAGATCAAAGAGGGCTCATAAAAGTGGCCTACTAATACTCACAGATTACGAACGCGCTCGTCGTGACTTGTCCTGACACTGCCTATGTACACCTTTGGCGTATAAAAAAAGTAACTTTTCACCAGACAGAGCAGCTGTGCTAGAAACAATGGAAACGCGAAATTTACACAAACCATCCAGGGTCTCACCTGTGAGCACAGATCCAGTTTCGCCAGGGTCAACCACCTATGTTTGTTCATGTCAGCGAGCAGGTGGCCGAACCTCTCGTTGATGTGACCCACGATCAGGTTCACAGAACTGAAGTACACAGACAAGTTCTGTCCAAACCAGGGTGTAAGATAGACAGGTGGGGAAACGGCCCATAGAACCCTACCGCAGCGCCGTGACCGGATTGTGTACTCGTCTGCTTGCGGGTACCCCCGATTTGCGACAGATGGCGCTGCGGCGAGAGGAAAAAAATTGGAATCGAATTTGCATGGAACTTTATGGGAGAGTGCGCAAAATAAACCTAGAGCACGACATTCCTTCATTGAAAATCCACGAGAAATCATCTCCGTCAGTTTAGCCGGTCGCCACCGGTCGCCCACCCGGAGTGAGAGTTCGCAGTGCTCCACATAGATGGCGCCACAGAAAAAGAGAAACCCGAGGGGGACACAATCCGGTCGCTCATTTGGCTCTCGTTTCTCCACCTGTCTATCTTACACCCTGGTCCAAACGCTCATCCAAGTACGAACAGACGGTTGGGATAGGCTAGTCGAGGAAGAACCATGCAAAGCGTCTCGCCAGATGGGCAACACCCTGCGCCGATCTGTCGGGTGCTAGTATTTGGAGGCCCGCATGCAGAGCAGCTAGGTCCCTTTTTAAGCAGGATAGCTTCCTAAAGGGTTTTCTCTACGTTGGAAATATGCAGCAAACCGCGTTCGGAAAGGAAGCTTCGGCGCATGATGGCACGAGGGATACGAATCATAGATTCGATGTCTCGCCAGCTTAATCTCGTTAGTAGAAGTCTCCTTCCTTGAGAACAGCGGGGATTCATCGTGCAGATGCCTTGCTATACTTCGTCCCACCCTGGCATGGACTAACCGCGAAGGCTGTGGTAGCGCGAGCGGCCAGCCTTGACTGCCTTGACTAGAGCACTTGCTGCACGAGCGCTCGTGCAGCCGCCGCGGCCTCATTCAAAGCGATTAGCTCGCGCTTTTAGCACGCGCGGCTAACAATAGTCCATACTAAGGTGAGACGAAGTATAGCCTTGAGCAACACTGTACTCGTACTACGCAAAAGGATGTGCTCGCAATGCGCAGGAG